GCCAGCTCCAGAGCCTTGAGGACAGCCAAAGACATGTTCGCAGAAACCTATACATGCCTCCTCCTGAAGGCTTTGAGTCATTTCTAGATTTCTTATAACACCTAATACTAGGCAGACACTGGTTAAAGAGCTGTGAAACATTTTGTTTAGGGAAAAGTGGCATGACAGAGCCTGCACATGTCCAGAACAGGTGCAGCTTTATGGAATCAGATCCACAGCAGGTAGGATCCTGGGAATGTACCTGCAGCAGCTCTAGGGCCCAGCTCTTCCTTCCGAGTGCTTCCGTGCCTGTCATGGAACTGTATTAGACGTTCCTCTACACATGGGCATCACCCTAGAATCCAACTTAAAGGACTCATTCCTGAGTTACGACCAAGAAAGGAACAGGAGACAGTAACTCCAGTGTTTCGGTGATTGAAGCCCAGCCTCCCCACACCCACCAGCTCTGTCTGACACAGAAGACCCTGGAGAACTCTCATCACCAAACCCTTAGGCAGAGAATCCAGGTAACTTGAGTTGGGGCTACCCCATGAACAGGAACCTTCAACTGCAAAGCTCCTCAAAGACCAGGTATGAGGAGGCAGACACAACTAGGACATACTGGCCACGCCCCACACCTTGAGCACAGAGTTAAGCACCTATAAACATAAATGTGGCTGAACTGTCAGACATGAAAGACCCCGAAGAGGTACTTACTCTTTGTCCATTCTTTATCCAATTCCTCAGAGTGCAGGAATTAAAGAGAGGGAGAAAGCGTTAGCAGCAGCGGGCAGTAGCACTCCATCAGTGCTGGTGCTAGACCCAGAACTGAACCTGTGCGGCATGGGATGCCCGGGCACATCCACGTACAGGCTCCCAGCTAGGGGGTTATTGAAGCTAACAGCCTGTCTCCTGGGCTACCTGCTGCAAATACCTTCGTGTGATGGCAAATACTGTCAGTTTGACAGGATCTAAAGTCACCTAGGAGATACCTAGGCGTGCCTGTGAGGATTTTATCTTGACTGGGGTCCTAAAGAGTTGGGGGTGCTGGGCATGCCTTTACTCTCAGCACTCGGGAGGCAGAGGCAGGAGGATTTCTGTGAACTGGAGGACATCGTGGTCTCCAGAGTAGGCCTTGTGTGAAGTGTGCTGTATGTGGTATTGATGGACTGAGTAGTAGGGTGCACATGCCTGTAGCATGCTAGGTGGTGTGGGGCGTGGATGTGGTACGTGTGTGGTGCATGTGAACGTCTGTGGTGGGAGTACCTGTGGGGTGGCGAGGTGCGGTGCATGGTGTGGTGTATGTGCCGAGACCTGGCTTGTGTGGGGTGTGGC